TACCATTCGAAATATTATCGACTGCACAGAGTCAGGAATCGATAAATAGAGACGACATTGAACAGTTTTATTTTTATCTGGTTTTCAGTTAGCATAAAATTAATTTTAGTAATCTCTGACTTTCAATGAAAAGAAAGTAAAGCAGGTGAGATTCAGAAGATTTGATTGGACTAAGTAAATGTAGGCCTACACTAAAGAAGTATAAGTAATCATACAGATTTTAAATTTTAGAAGATGGGAAGGAACGTGCGATATCTGGAGACGATTTCCGTTGTGGTTCGATTGTCACAAACCAGTCAGTACTAGACTGTTTTGAAACTCATCAACTACCTCACTTCAAGATTATGAAGTCTTGTCTCATTTTTATTCAGTTACTAAACTGGAGTTTAATGTCTTACGCTATCCGTTTTCTATCCAGTCAAGTAAAAGAGTAATATCAATGATTACTAGGCGAACTCGTAGACCACTGAGCCACTGGGACCCGATCCAATGGACCTTGAATTCTAACTTCTGCCAGTTCACGACATAGCGCGACCATTTCGCAATGTCTTCTTCGATGAGTTACTGCCTCATCTTCAGCCTGCTGTACCCTACTGGTCACGGCTTCCCACTAGAACCCCAGGTTAACTGCCTGAATAGGGCCAGTCACTAGTGAGCATCAGATTAATTTTCAAGTATTGGTTTTGTAGGGATTTTGTTTGATTGCATGGAGGATTTCATCCTAAGCTGATATCAGTTAGAGAACCACTGGAAAACCTGGGAGTACTGGACAGATGTTTCATCCTAGTTTGGGACTCTTCATCAGTACGCACCCACCGGGATTAGAACCCAGGACCTTCTGGTTACAAGGCGAGCTCGTAGACCATTGAGCCATTGGGACGATATCAATGAATCATCATTTTCACCTCGAGCTTCGTTTACGGTAGTGTCAACTGAAGATAGTTGTCTGCGAATCCATCACCAAACACCAGTTAATACAGATACTTTTAGAAATCTACTTAGAAACAGCTTATCTGTTACTAAATTTAAATAATTATATTTTATGGCTGTGGAAATTTACATTATTCATTGAGAAAGTTTCACACTAAATAGGGACAAAAACTCTTATCAATGACCCTTTGAAAACTGTCAAGTTCCCTATTAAACTGAACTCAGTTTTCATCACAATGCAGCATACACAGGTAACTTAATAGTTTACGTTTTTGTGTACTAAGTCATAAAGGATTTTCCATCAATATAAAGAATCATTGAACCAATTTTTAGTCAGCATTCTATGCCGTCGTATTGCATAAGTTACATCAAAGCTTTAAAACTATTGCATTCTTACCATATCTGGATAGTGACATGTTGGAAGGTATTTCATTGTGGTTTCTCAGTGTAACAGTAATAATGATAATACCGATAATAATAGAATTCAAATATGTGGTTTAGACACTGGTTCAGTTGTGTTTTTTACAGATTAGCACAAACCTTTCAACTGGTTTAACTTCACGAACTGAGTGTATTTAATAAGGCTAACTTGCAAGTACACTTATGAGGTGATCCTTTCAGCAGTTCTAATTTGAATGCTTTATTTCTGCTCTTTCAGGACATTTTGTCGTTATCATTTGCATAAGAATGTTAGTCGATGGTAACGTGCTCGTGTTTAGTTCCTGTATGCTTAGCTAGAATACTACTAATAACTTCATCAGTTGACCCTGTGTGTATAACAGTAGTCAACCGTTATATCTTGATCAAAAGTTGAATGATTAAAAATGACCATTTAAATTTTTCCAAAAGAATGTTTACTGAACAAAGAATATTCCTTTCGATAACCCCTTCTACATCAGCTTCTATAGTTATATATACATAATTGTGAAAGAATTAGTGATACTGACAGCATCAATGGTTAAATAACATCGGATCAATAATAATATCAATGGATCACAGTTCGATAGCATCAACATAACACACTGAATATCAGAAAAATTAGGAGAGACAGTGATACAAATCCGTGAATTTACAGTCTCCACTGAAGGTCAGAGCAGTAGTATTGGCTGGACTTGCTTTCTTTGCACAAAAGTTACTGATTGTTTCACGTGAATCGCAATAGCCTCTGTTGTTTGGAGTATGTGGCACCTGGATGCTTTTGACAATTTATTTATGATAGAGAAGGATTCTTCAATGCTGGCTTGTGGCCAGTTTGGACCAGATGGTTTAATGTCGAACTGTTGATGGTTTTTACTAAACCTTTACTTAGCCACACTAGTAGATGTTCTCGAGCACGAAAAATCAAGTTTCTAGCGCAGTGGCCAATATAACTCGCTCCACAAGCTCAGTTGAATTGTTAGATACTTTTAGAAGTGGCTAGTCTAGGTACTTCATCTCTCAATCGAGGAATCACTGTCGATCATGTAGAAAACATGACTTGTAGTTTACCAGCAGAGGTTGTTGCAATTCACGTGAAACAATCAGTAACTTTTGTGCAAAGAAAGCAAGTCCAGCCAATACTACTGCTCTGACCTTCAGTGGAGACTGTAAATTCACGGATTTGTATCACTGTCTCTCCTAATTTTTCTGATATTCAGTGTGTTATGTTGATGCTATCGAACTGTGATCCATTGATATTATTATTGATCCGATGTTATTTAACCATTGATGCTGTCAGTATCACTAATTCTTTCACAATTATGTATATATAACTATAGAAGCTGATGTAGAAGGGGTTATCGAAAGGAATATTCTTTGTTCAGTAAACATTCTTTTGAAAAGTTGAATGGTCTAAACATCTGAACATTCTGTAACTTACTGTCTGTTACTAGTCTAGTGTAACATATCTTTTCAAGAATGGTCACTTTCAATATCATGGACAGACAAAAGTATAGACAACCAATTGATTATTTTCCCCGAGAAGTTTGAACTATTTCGCTGACCTAACATAGCGATCATTTATTAAAATATTGATGACATTTATTTAAATGCAACTTTTATATCAAATTATAATGATTTTGGAATGCAGATGGCTAACTATGATCCTCCGTATGCGAGAACTGAATACTTGTATCATTTGTTAACGAGAGAATAAGCAGGAGGCCTACTAAACAAATTAGTAACTCGAATTTAGCAGTAATCTGGAATGTAATTAATCCACGACCAGTGCACCATCCAACAATCACTACTTGATCTTGCATCTCCAGAGTCATACATAGACACACACCATACACAAACACACTTTATAACTGTTAAGTTGATGCCAAAATATATTACTAGAGGTCACGCTTGGCTAGGAAACAAATATGTTTAGCTATCGATTTTGGCCTCTCACTGACTTAATGAAATAAACAAAAGAGATATGTTTCCAGTTTATTTAAACAGTCGGGTAACTATTGGAAACCGTAGTACTTTAAACATTATAAGGCATTCAGTTTGAGAAATTAGTGAGAAAAATCTTTCTGCCTACAGTCTTTTCATACATCAATAATATAATGCTTAGTGTATTAAAATCGCTTCTAGGTATACCATTCCAGTGGTTAACATCATGAAGGGATGAAGTTGTTTATGAGTACTCATCATGACATGTCTAGAATTACAGTGCAGAAAAAGCAGATCTTTTGCTTAATGCTACTTATTTATACTGACAATATAGTTAATTAATTTGCACAGAAAGAATTGTCAGTTGTACAGATTAAAACTGGGGCAGTGAACATTTATTTGTACTTTTATCTTGTAATGCCTATAAAAGAAAGGTCAAGTGTATGCTGGGAAAGGCTAGATATGCATTTTTTGGGAATATACCATTAGCCTTCATTTACTTGTATAATAAAAGTACCACTATTAATTGGTGTTAAATTATCAGAACTAATGGACAGGAAATTCTGAAACTGGATTTGCTGTTAATTAGCATTCAACATGACCGTGTCTCTTTTTGGAATATGATTAAATTCAATCAATAAAACTAATAATGACAGTAGGATATATAATACCACTAAATTGCATAAATCAAGTTATTCTAAGGGGAGTACAGTTGACTTACGAAACACACCAATTTATGAGTTGAGTGAATTCAAAGGAATGATAACGCACCTGCTTAGAAATAGTTCAGAATGCTAACTTTCTTTGTCCCATAAATTCAGTTAAACATTAAATTGTTTGAAATTAGACCAAGAAAAGTGATTAGCTTAACTGTCATCACCATGTACAGTAATGCATTCATCAACATGGCTTTAGAGGCTGATGGGAATAAGCCAATTTCTGAATAAGAACTCAGGCTTACAATGAAGATGTCGATAACAGAGATCAGGACTGAGGTACGGTTGTACCTAACTTGTGTGATATTTGAGCTAACACGTATAGTAAAGCTAGAAATACAGTGTGGTTAACAGTTACAGGCTTTTTGTATTTTTAACTGAAAGTTACAATAAACACCAATCTGATGGATGAACTAAAATGAAAGTTACTTATTGGTGTGTGATCTTCAGTTAAATGTGTTCAGTAGAAGCAACTCGAAATTACTAAAAAGAACAACTGATATAGTCTACTGTGGCATCTTACGAACCTAGTTGACAAACCTTTTTAGTCTGAAACAAGAGGTTCTACTTTTCCAAAAATGCCCTATATCAGGTCAATGACAAGTAAAATTGTGTTGAACCCCGTCTCTCACCAGTCACATGTTATGCCATAACCACGGAGCACTTAATATTACTATAAAATGAATGTAGAAATTTGCTGACTGATAACAAACAGACTGTATAGTAGACTAGCGGGCATAAAAATATTAACAGATTACTAAACATACTTATTCAGTATATGCTAATAAATGAAAACTTGCTTTAATGTATATTTTGAGTTGCTGAAAATGCAGTTCAAAAAGAAGATGAAGCCAACATATTTGCACTAGTTTACACACACTAAAAATGCATATATCTTCTAGATGACAGAATATTGATGCGTAAACGTAAAATAAAAGTTTAAATACACATAAATGTGACTATAAATGCGCTATGCAATCCATTTTCACTTACCTACCGGAAACTTTCTTCCAATATCTGGACTAACACTGACTGATCTAAACATTTCTGAATTATACTTTTGTACTCCAGAATCACACTGATTTGATGCATTTGTATTGTGTTTCAGGTGTTCAGGTCGCATAGCCTGATAATAACCCTGATGTGGGTTGTTAGATGATTGGTGATTTGGACAACAGTTTAAATGGTTGTCATTAGTAGCATTAATATGATTACCATTGTTATTGTAACCATTACCGCTACAAATACTGCTACTCGCACTACCAACACGTGCATGGTAGTCATCATTTGCATATTGAGTTTGTATCAATGAAGATAAACAATCTTCATCAGTCGGTAGTGAGCTCAGTGACAGCGAATTTCTTTTATACGAACTTAAAGGATTATTTGAGAGGTAGGAGTTGTACTTTGAGATATTTGGAGTTTCAATCGGTTTCTTATGAATTATACCTGTTGTTCCTAGTGGATGGGAGAGATTTGAATCTTTTTCCTTAGCACCACCTGTTGTTGTTGCTGCTGTCATTGTACTGTCGGCATTATAGGACAGACGATGTTCGTGATGACGCTTATATGGTCTGTATTTTTGAAATGCTGAATGCAAAACTTGTGGCCGACGCATTACATAGTAAGTTTTAGAGTAGTTCTCGTTTTCTTCTTCTTGTTGCTGTAGTGGTCTTAAGAATCCTTCGCAAGCTTCACCACCATCAAGTCTGGTATGAAATGAAGGCTTTGGAGGGGTTGGTGTTGGTGGTAAATACTCATTTCTGCCAAAGGATTTGCTTATTTTGAAACCACTAGTATTATTACCGTTGTTACCTAGTAATGATGTTGGCGGTGGACTGTGGATTCCATATTCTCCTGCAGTTGTTGTCATTATGGATGCTGGTGTTTGTGTTCCTGTTCCTATCCTAGAGGTTGCTGGACGGTACGAATTGTTCGAAATTATAGAATCTATATATTTTGATTTCGATGTTGAAGATTCATTATAGTTATTATTTGCATTATGAAATAATTCGCTAGATAAGAGATTTTGATTTGATATAACTGACCATAATGGTCGATAGTTTACAAGAGGTCGATATGGTGATGTAGATGAACTGCGTTTCAACACTGCATTGTAATTATTTGCTGAAGAGAGTATCGGTGAATACTTGTTATTAGGAACACAAGCAGTACAGTTAGTACTATAAACACTGTCTGTTGCACATAATTCATTACCATTATAAACTGAAGAATTTGTTGACAATAAAGAATCTTGTTTCGTCATTTGTACAGGTCTCACCGAAGTCGTTTTATTATTTGCTTCACTGTCTCTTTCTGGCAGTGAGTTCAGACCATTGCTGTTATTCATATTAAAACTTCTACCAAAATTATTTTGGCTGTAGTTACTGGATGTATAATTGAATTGCGTATTCTTCAAAGAATAATCACCGCCTGTCGACGGTGATGGTATTGACGATGATGCTATGGTATTTGGTGAAAATGAATGATTGTGTGATGTGAAATAACTGAATGTTTCAGGTTTACAATCCTCACTAAGGTTATTTTTATAAGTAGTGTCATTGTTGTCAGTACTGTTATTATCATCATCATTTGCATTCATATTTAATTTAAGATTTTGTGCTAATGATTTAATGACAGCTGAAATCCCCGGTTGTGTTCGACGATTTACAGAAAGTTGTACTTCTTCATATCTACTCGCCCTCCGATTATTATAATCCGACTCATTATTATTACTTTTATTGTTATTATTACCATTTTGGTCATAAATATGTGACGTACTTGAAGTAACTCCGGAAGGTTTCCAATAATCCGATGTATTTGAATTCATGGAGTAAGGGGATAATATATTATCCGAATTTAGTTTACTTGTATCCCATCTATTTCTTTGTATTGGCTGAAAAGATGTCATAGAGCCTAGATTTCTAGGCATAACTCTTTGAGTTGACAGAGGAGGATTGACACCTGAGTAGAGGGATGAGAATGTCAAGGCAGAGCTGACGGGGTTTGTAGTGTTATTATTACCAGATGAATACATACGGGGTGTGTGATTTCAGACGATTGCAGCTAGTCTAAGTGAAAAATCATCAGCTGCAAAAATTACTCAAAGAAAAAGTCTGTGAATGGTTTCATAATGAATGTAATTCACTAGTGATCTGCATGGTTTACCATTGGACACTGTCAGTATTTATCATTTTTCTGCTTCAACAAATCTGAAAGCCTATGACAAATAAGCATGATGTTTGCAAAAATATTTGAACAAATCAAATTATACTGAAGAGTGACTGATATGTGATTGGTCAATAATTGAAACCAATAAAACTGCTACCTTGGCTGTGAAAATTGGAAAACTGATGCAAATGACAGCATAGATGATGTTTAGTTCAAATAACTTCACATACTGAATTTTTAAAAATATATGAAAGATTCCGTAGTTAATTCTTAAAGAAGAGGACTCCTATACACACATAGCAAATGTGTTATCAAAATGTCCATTGATTTATTTGTCGGAGATCCATTACACTATCATAATAATAATCTACTTTATTCCAAAAACAGTACTTATAATACAGAATGGAATTCTCATCAGAAATTTAGTGAAAGTCAGTGCTTTCCATTGACAATTCGAAGCCCCTCTAATTAAACATAATTAAAATTGGCCAATTTTCACTCATATAAACAGAAAATTGTTTAGAGTGTACTAAATTCCAGCGAAATTCCTACCATCGATGATCCTAGTTTGTGCACTACTTCTTTCAAACTCACTTTGATTCAAAGAGTTAGGTAAAGAGGACCAGTGATGGAAGTATCTGACATATAATAAGAGTTTCTTTTGGTACTAAGTTTTCATTACATACAGATTTTCGTTCATTTTTGTGAAATAGAATTGGATATTGAACGAAACTTCTTCATATGTTCTACCTTCAGATCTCTGACTTGTTCTTAATACTCAGTCATAGTTTTAGTTATGAATAAGAAAATGAGAACTTTTCATTAGGCTTCAAAAGGAAATTCGTCTTTTTGTGTAAAGATTACTTTACATGCTAGGATGCTTAATAGCTTTAAGTGCTTATAGAATTACAACAACTGGTTATATTCATCGCTTCTTCATCATAACACTAATCCCAGTGAAATAGTGTAAGACATAGTTTTTGCTTCCTTCACTCCATCCCCTTTTGCAGTCCCATCTCCATCCAGATTAAATCATGATTGGCTGACATTTACTGCGATTACTAATGAAACACTTAAATTGTTCTTGGTATAATATGCATCTGACACATTAATCAACCATATTGTTATATTTTAAAGTACCAAGCAACGACATAGTGTTATTTTAACATAATAGCTCACATAGCTCACTTTCTAAAGGCCTCCAAGAGGCTGACTCAAAGTTTTGAGTCCGCAAATTTGAAAAAAGAACTTATTAGCATTTTGCCTTCCTTCATTCGTAAATACTTCGTGGAAGGTCAACTAAATAAATAGAAACCATTCCTACGCTTTTCCAATGTACTTGCTACAGCAAAGTTGCATGATTCTATAAATGTCTGACTGGCTGGTTTCAACGTAGAACTTTGCACAGGTGTACGGGAGTTCCAGTTGCCACACTCCCTCCATGTAGTACACAAAGCAAGAGAAGAGAGTAAGGAGAGAATCAAAAGAGAGATAATAAACAGAAATATTAGACAAAAATAATAGCAATATGGAAGAACAATAGAATTTTAATGGATATTATAAATCACAAAGAGTGAATGCATCTGCGCCACTGAGAACGATTTTTAGCTATATCACCAATTGTCCCCTGCCATTGGTTTCTACCATCCCGAGGACCCCAAACAGGAAGTCTACACCTTCCTACGTGGCTTAAACTAATTGTTTTAGATTTCACTGACTGATGCCATGTTTTGGTTTGGCCACCACTAGCTAACTATTTTCCAGCCTGATCCATCCTATGTCAGCTAACATTGCCGATTGTCGAGGAAGGCGATCGATGGCTAGGAATGCATACTTAACACATGTCCTAACTATCTCAATCGGTGTAACTTCACAGCCTCATCGATTGATCTCCCCTCCCACCTACCTAGCACTCGACGCCTAACCTCAATATTACTAATTTTATTATTTCCTTTAACATGGGAGACGCAACGCAGACACCTACGGTCAAACACAGCTAGAACTTATTATGCAGCTAAACTTATCTTCATAAAGAAAACGAGAACTATGCTGTCCTGTAAACTGAGATAGTATTCCGTCCACATATCCTTGTTCCAGGAGATTATTTTCAGTCATTTGACCGTTTCTTACTCTAATAGTGATGTCTAAAGTAATTTAATGGTTTCAAAGCTCATATCTTAGTTAACATCAAGTGACGATTTTAGTATCACTGAAGCTTTCAGATGTGGGTGACAATTCATCACAGGTAACAAAAGCACCACTAGTTTATTATAAAAAGTTGGTTGAAATACTGAACGCAACCGCTCTCTCCTTCCCTTAAACTCACCCTTACAATATCAGAATCTCCCATTTAGTCATGTAACGTTGTCACTCATTACTTTAGACTCTCTGGTTTACAGTGACTTTCAGATCTTGAGTAAAACTGAAGTCTGATATTACATTCTAAGGAAACTCCATGATAAATGTCTTAGTCTCTAGAAGTGCGATAAAAAGCGAGACGTGATCAATATAAGATGTCTGATAAGCTCCACGGTTGTTCAAGTTGCAATACTTTATATGTGTACAGAAAATGAATCGGAATATCAAGGAAGATAGAGAAATGAAACTAAAATCATCGACGAAGAGGTACACGTAATACATATTGTTATATTGTTTCAAATGGATACAATGCGTGAATGTTTTGGCGTCATAGTGACTGATTCTTACCCCTATCATTTTCAGGCAGTTCAAAAATGGAATTTCAATGTTTCAACATCGATATTCCTGGGATTCTGCTTTATTATTTTTCTATAATTCGCCATTTTTAAGAATTCAATCGATACATCTTGTAAAGCCTACTCGCATGTTTTTGCGTTTTAAAGAGGTTTAGTAAAAAATCAAATAAACAAAAAACAAAAGAAATTCTTTCTATTATTCCTAACACTAATCCCATTGCATTTTTTACTCTCATTATGGCAATGAAAAATATTCAGTTTATAAAACGAATCACATTAATCCCCTTATTGCAAAAATGAGATTTAATCTCATGTTAAATTTACAATTTCATGTGACAGAAATGAGAGTTAAGTATTTTGAGTTTATTGTGAGTCGAATACTTCACCAGGTTTTATTCCTACCTTTCTATAATTTACTTTAAATAAAGTGACAGAGATTTGGAGTAAAATCTATTGGAATTATGTGAAACGATTATAAGTGGTCATCCCATGTCTGAGCTGATTCATGGGTGGTTTCATCATCCTTAGCGCCCGGGTAAATTTCAAACTGTTGCCTATATAATTAACTGATTTTTCTTGGTCAATAAAATTTAGTAGAATACATCATAGAGTATTAACTGATAATCACACTTAGATAAGCATCCCTGAAGAAGTAAGACATGTCAGGAATACGATGTCCATGCACACGAATTCTATCTAAAATGAGCCAATCAACTCCAGCTAAAAAACACCACAATAATAGATAAAAATTGCTTGGTGGTTGTTGTTATTTCTTTCGACGTTAATTTGTACTTACCTTTGACTGATCATGTTAGACGAAATGCAGAGTCTGTGATACCCACTGTACACGAAGTGTCTGTCAGTCATGGCTACTTTGGCGCTTAAAACGAATGGTACAAAGTTCGAGTCTCAGTAGGAGCACTACCACTCTCTGGCGATGCAGGAACATCCAACTGAGGAGTACCGAATAGGATGAAATCTACCATATGAATTCCACTGCTAGACACCATCATCCAAAATTAACTTCAAGGTACTATGTTATCTTTCTGATATGCAATACTTAATAACTGTCTACATCGTCCCCCGCCCCCATCTATTGAGGAACTTGTTGGGCTCTGTGCCAATCAGATATCGTTGAAACACTATCCACTGAACAGCCAAAACCCAGTTTATGAATTCAGAAATAATCTATTGTAGATCTTTACTTACTCTATTGCAAAAATTTTATTTTCTTTCCCCTCCGTTTCGCTGCTTTAACCTTATTCCGTTTCCATAGTGTGATCACTTACACCTTGATTTATTTTTTCGCATCCATCCCTACTCTTGACCTGAATATCTGACCTCTACTCCACTTATTACTCTTTTATCATTTTGGATCACCAATATTTACAACTTTTACGTATGCTGGGTTACAAATTTCTTGCATCTCTAATTAATGTCCAGCTTTCATTCCTGATTCTAGAATATTGTTGTAACTTGTCTGTGTGTTAGCCGACATGTTTACTAACACCTTTTTTTTCTCTCCTTTCAAATTTTTGGATATTCACTTACATAATATTAGCAGTTTTCATCACTGAGGTAAATAATTAGAGTATGTGGATATTTTGAATATTGATATCAAGATTGTTCTTCGTGGTTTGGATTTGACAAGAACCGACGAGACAAAATGACTTCCTGTTCAATTTATTGTTCATCAACAGAAAAACTTGTATGAAATATTGAAGTGTTTGTTTTATGGCGACAACAAGGAAAAAGATGACATAAAAGAATACAAATTAAATAATAATAATAATAATTAAAAGTCAATCTGAACGAAGAATATTCTTTTCAATAATTTCTCTTCAGGTTCTCACCATTATAAAATATAACATTTGTTATCGTTACAGTAATGGCCACTTATGCGGCGGATACATTTTTCAACGTAGAATAACAGATTAGTTATACGGTGACAAAATAAATAGTAGTATTTGTGTCACAGACATGCTAGGCCGAAATCAACTAGAAAATATTGTGAAATGGGTGACAATGGTGGTGATTAGTCACAATAGATTCGGAGAATGTGGAGTAGGAAAAATGGACAAGTCAGTTCAAGGTTATAAACGGTGTCAGGTGAGTGGCTAGTACACAATAGTATGGATTAAGTAGGAGATAG